CCCACAAAGTATGGTGATTCTCTCTCATTCACTTTGAATTTGACATCACACTTAATCCTTTGAAAACACACTGTCATTTCCATGGCTCAACCTTCTCAATTCTTTCTTACCCACTACCGCAATGAATGCAAGAATTATCAGATGAATCTCTTTCATTGCACTATTTGTTGGGAATAAATAGGCCACATAAATAATATTCACAGTAACAAAGAAATGATAACGTAGCATCGAGATAAGATAGTCAACAAGAATAAAAAAAGAGGTTTTAACACTGTTAGTCCCTTTGTAAAGAGTTTTTATATAAATAGCATTACTTTTGCTTTATTTTTAAAATAGCACATTCATTTACAGTTAAAGCATTTTTCAAGATTCTTTACGTGGCATTTAATTTCTTAAACGTAAACATTAAGCACAATTCAGGGGATGATTGAACTATATTAATTTATTACAATATTCTCTCTCATCATTAATCTAAACTTGTCATTTTCTTTGAATTTTGACTCCAAATTAGGTGCTCTAAGAAAAAGTCCTTTTTTCATAATTCTCTCATACACAATCTAAATCAATCCACATTCCATAATCTTTTTTTCACTTCCATAAATAAATACTCACCCATATATCTTAAAGATACTGAAAAGAAGCAATAGTGGGAACTTCTTGTATTTTTTCAAACTGCATAATTTTATATTTTCTCCAAGTTATACCTTTAATATAATATAATTATTCCATCAATTNATTTAATTTATATATTGTATTATTTATGCTACTGCAAAGCTAGTCCTTTATGTTTTTTTTCTTCAACTTTTCCTGCTGTATTGGACGAGATGGTGAAGATTATCTAAAAGGAAGAAATAATGTTTGTGAAGAGAGGAATAAGTTAATAAAATGGATATAGTTAGCAATAATTAACTTTCATATATTTAGGAATGTTACGGAATGGATGCATCATATTGTTATAGGGATTGAAAATAAAACGGCTGTTATGGGGAGATTTTAGGCTTAAAATGAGGGTTCCATTTCTGGCAGGGGGTTGCTAAGATGGTAACTTTTTCATGGCTACAGTTGGAATATTCATTTTAATACTAAAAATCTGCAATTTTATTTTTACATGCCTAGTTACGAAATCTTCTCATAAAAAAAAGAGTAACAAGGACACCAAGATTTTTACATGAAAAACCACAACTCCGAGAAGAGCAACTAATATTACTATAGTAAGGAATTTTACACTATGAAAGCTGTGTAAAATACTCCAAATACTACTATACACTCAAAAGAAATAACCCTCTTTTCACTTGCACTCTCTATATTTCCTCGCAATATTTTTTACTTCTCACTCTGTGAATTGCTCATTTGTTCTTTGTATTACTTTTTGTCCAGTGTGTTTGGTATGTTGCAAATACGGAAGAACTTTTGTATTTATAAAGGTGAAGAATAGCATGCCAATGTCATCAATGACATAGGCAAATGATAGCAATGTCAACAATTGCGATGTGAAGAGATCATTGGCCGGTTGGCCAAATCTGTAGACATTTGAATTTCTTACCAAAGGAAGAAAACATCTTCCTTAAAACATGGATTGGACGCACAAATCTCCTCCTCCTAGAATATGCATCGGAAGGAGGTATCTACAATTTTTCACATAGAGCTCATGCCAACAAGTTCTATACATAGCTCGAACTTGTCTCTCGGCATCACCTTAACATATCTGCATGATTTTCACTCATGTGAATCTTCTTGATCTACAATGACTCGTTCTCCACTTTATCACAAATCCAATGATATCTTACATCGATGTGTTTTTTTCTTGCATGGTATATGTACTCAAATCTATTGCACTTTCACTGTTACAATAGACGACACACTCCTTTTGATGCAATCCAAGCGCTTGAATGAACTGTTTTAGCCATATCATATCCTTCTCATCTCCTTGCCAGCTTCAATAGCGGCAATGTACTTTGCTTTAGTTGTAGAGTGCGCTACACTTCTGGAACTTCGACTGTCATAATATAGCTCCACCTAAAAATGTGAGCATGTATCCAGTAGTAAATTTTCAATTATCAAGATCACCAGGCATATCATTGCCCTGGACCAAACCTTCCAAAACATAAGCAGTCTCCAGAGGTACCTCTCAAGTATATGAGTATCCATTTGACTGCTTATCAATGTTCTTTTCCAGGATTTTCAAGGAACCTACTAATAACACCGGCTACATGAGCAATATCAGGTCAAGTAATATCATTGCATACATCAGGCTTCCGACCGCTGAGGAACAAGGAACTTTGGATGTTGTCTATTTTTACTCATTTGTTGTAGGACACATCTTCTTGCTCAATTTCCCATGACAAACAAGAGGAGTGCTAACAGGTTTAGCACTTTTCATGCTGAAGCGTTCCAGTACAAGTTCAATGTACAATTCCTGAGATAGCCACAATTATTTGCTTATTCGCTTTCAAACAATCTTCATCCTTAGAATCTATATCTATATTATATTAAAAGGATGGTAGTCTGCATTGTGATTAATAGCCTGTTTGGCCAAGCTTCTCCAATCCTAGAAGCATTTTTTTTTTTCAAAGTTGAAGGGTTTGGCCAAGCTTTTGGAAGAAAAAAAGTACTTTCGAGGAGAAGCAGAAGCAGTTTTGGAGAAGCAGAAAAAGTAGCTTATCTCCAAAAGCACTATTTTGAAAAGTACTTTTGAGAAAAATACACTTAGAAGCTGTTTTTAAAAGCTAGGCCAAACACGAATTGATGCTCATAAGTGTTTTTCAAATTAATTAGTCAAACACAAACTACTTCTCACCAAAAGTACTTTTGAGAGGAAAGGGACAAGTTATTCCGGCTGGCTAAGGCGAGAGAGAGGACGACTCGTGATCTAGACCAAGTGAGATGCATCAAGGACGAGGAAGGCAGAGTGTTGATGGAAGATGCTCAGATTAAGCGGAGAAGGCAGACTTACTTTCATAAACTGTTGAATGACAAAGGGGACAAATATATTGTGCTAGGGGAATTGGAGCACTCCGAGAGTCACCGAGATTTTAGCTACTGTAGGCGCATTAAGGTTGAGGAGGTTGTGGGGGCTATGCGTAAGATATGTAGGGGCAGGGGCAGAGCAACCAGGCCCGACGAAACCGATAGAATTTTGGAGGTTGGTGGGTAGAGCAGGATTGGAGTGGCTAACTGGGTTGTTTAATATTATTTTCAGGACGAAAAAGATGCCAGAAGAATGGAGGTAGAGTACGATGATACCGCTGTACAAGAACAAAGGCGATATCCAGAATTGTAACAACTATAGGGGTATCAAGTTACTAAGTCATATCATGAAAGTTTGGGAGAGGGTGGTGGAAGTGAGGGCAAGGAGGTCGGTGTTGATATCCGATAACTAGTTTGGGTTTATGACTGATCGTTCTACTACGGAAGCTATCCATCTTATAAGGAGGTTGGTTGAACTGTACAGGGATAGGAAGAAGGATTTGCACCTGGTGTTTATTGACCTAGAAAAAGTATATGACAAGGTCCCTAGGGAAGTTCTTTGGAGATGCATGGAGGTGAAAGGTGTTCCGATTGCTTATATTAGGGTGATTAAGAACATGTATGATGGAGCTAAGACTCGGGTTAGGACAGTGGGGGGCGACTCGGAGCATTTTCCGGTTGTTATGGGTTTACATCAAGGATCTGCGCTCAGTCCATTCTTATTTGCACTGGCGATGGACGCACTGACACACAATATTTAAGGGGAGGTGCCATGGTGTATGTTATTCGCTGATGATATTGTTCTGATCGATGAGATGGGAGGAGGTGTTAACGAGAGGTTGAAGGTTTGGAGACAGACCCTTGAGTCTAAAGGTTTCAAGTTGAGCAAGACTAAGACATAGTACGTGGAGTGCAAGTCCATGTTCGCATATCGGGAGACGCAGACATAGACGTGGTGCTCGACTCTCAAGTCATCCCCAAAAAAGGGAGCTTCAAGTACCTGGGGTCGGTTATCAAGGGGGATTGGGAGATTGACGAGGACGTTACGCACCGTATAGGGGTGGGGTGGATGAAATGGAGGCTAGCGTCTGGTGTCTTGTGTGACCGAAAAATGCCTCCGAAACTTAAAGGTAAGTTCTATAGAGCGGTGGTTAGACCGGCCATGATATATGGTGTCGAGTGTTGGCCAGTCAAGAATTCGCATATCCAGAAGATGAAAGTTGCAGAAATGAGGATGTTGAGATGGATGTGCGGGCACACTAGGCTGGATAAGATTAGGAATGAAGATATCAGGGTGGAGGTGGGCGTGGCTCACATAGAAGACGATGCGGGAAGCTA